AGGGAATGAGGTGAATGTATTTGTCATGTAGAAAAGCTACGAATTGCTATGGCCGGAGAGTGGCCTGTGGTGTACCATTTCCAAAGACAGCTGCCAACCCTTCTTCTCATTCCTGTACATGGATGCAACTCCTTCACCTTGGGCTCATGGCTTGCTTCAACCAATGGAATAGCTTGGAAGCAATATTCTGTAGGTCTGGGGCTTTAGCAGGCCTCACAGCTTCTGCTTCTGCTTTCTTAGGATCCAACCACTATGTAGAGAGCTCAGGATAGCTTCCTGAATGATGGAGGAACATACAAAAGACAGATCCGGCCTCCTCCAGATGGTCCAACCACGCTAGTTAAGATGCATCTTGGATCCTCCAGCCCCAGGGAAACTACCCCCGCCAACACTATGTCAATCAGAGATAAGTCCATCTGCCAAACCCTGTCCAGAATCATTAATACATAAATGGCTGCTATTTTTTAAACCACTAAGTTCCAGGATGATAAATTATGCAGCAATAAATCCTAAAAGACCCACTTAAGCAGCAGAGATGGAAAAGTGCAGAGCACAGTTAGACAATTCATTCAGTTTTTCTTTAGTATGGCTTCCGTGTTTTTTGTTTGGTTGGTTTCACCAATTTTCCAATAACTTGACATTTAATAGTATGAGTGACTAGAGTCAACCAAATATTGAACAGATTCCCTAGATTTCAAAGCACCAATAATGGTTATGGGCTTAATGCCAACACATTTTTGCATATGATGAGGTCAAATCTTATCTTCCCCATGACCCAGACACGACATGTAAGTATGGGCTGATGGTCAGACACTTGCATAGGAAAGCTCAACGTAAACTGTCATGGTTGTACCAATATAAAGAACAATACACTAAATATAACCAGGATCATTTTCTTATATTCAGAGCCTTTTATTCAGAAATCATTTCGATCATTTAGTCAGTTTCCTAGAAGTTGTTGTCTGCAATAAGCACAATTTCTCTTCCTCATTCATTGGCATATGATAGAGACAAGAATAAATAATTATCCTGGGAAGTTTGACTCTACTATTAAAAAAAATTGAGTTTGAAGGCTGAAGGTGAATTACAACATAAATTAATCAAATAAATGCCTCCGCAAGGAGTTATGGAACTACGCATGTAAACAGGCTGCACAAAGCAGAACTGGGCCACACCACTGACACAGACTGTCGTGTGAAGGCGCCCCCTGAAGTTGTTCACCACAGCAAGGCTGTTATCAAGAGCCTAGTGCAGGTATAGGCGAAGCACGACTTTGCCCTTGAAAACCTGGCATTCTTGTAGGAGCTCAGTGACAAGTGATTAACAACGGCACATATACACGGATGTAATGATGTACATGTACTCCGGGTGAGGGTAGACTAAGAAAAATGAGCTTGAGCTTGAGAAGCAGAGGGCAAGAATGCTGAGGAGTGTAAAATGCACGTAAGTACAATCACATCACACACACAGAGGATGCAGCTTACCTGACATGCTGATGGATGAGTGTGGTTGAGGTCCCAATGGGAAGACACTATGTCAACAGACTTTTTGGCCATGTTGAGTAAATTCATCCAGCCTTGGAAAAGTGATAAGTGAAATGGTGCATTTTCTGAATAGTTAAGGCCTTCAGGAATATTTTCCACCAGGGCAATTCTTAGAAAAGATTTTGAGAAACAAACAAATAAAATCTAGTCAAATTGGAAGCCACAGATACATGCATATAGAGACATCTGAAAAATATTCTTTCTGAATGTATACTTTCCTTACAATTTACTTTTTTTTACCAAATCAGTCTTATATCCTCCCTTTGCTAATCTACTCCTGTGTTCTGAACGTTTATGTTGTTTTTCCACAGTTAGCACCTGTATTTTAGAAAATCATGACATTTATCTCTACTGGCCAATTTCAAATTAGCCTTGGAAAAAAATTCAGAGCTTCCTCTATCTTCCTCTAGTAATATATTCTTTATTTTTCTTCTACAGCAATGCAATTCTTTTATAAAATATTACTCTGCAAGCTACTTGAGACCATAAATCAAGTCTTGTACATCTCCAATTTCTAATACAATGTTGGGCACCTATTAAAACTCAGTAAAGGTGATTATTATTGCTTAACATCTCTGTTAATACTTCTTAGCCTCAGGGGTTAAAGCGACTCTGAAAAGAGTTATAAAACTTCCCTGTTGCAGGGATTTATTAAAGTCAGAGATAAGGAATTTAAATGATAGTAACAATCAAGCACTAAAAAACTGCAATCAGAATTATCCTAATAAGTTTGTTTATGTATATATATTAAATATTGACAGCATATCATTGTGACTGGTTCTCCTTGATATTTCAGCAAAGGCTGCATTTTTTTCACTTTTGAGTTAGGTAACACATAATTTCCTAACAAAGGAGTGAATAGCTATTTCCCAGTTTAATAAATGCATATCCATCTGCAATTCTTGATGAAAAAACGCCAAACCCTTATGAAAATACCTGTTAAATATTTCTAAAACAAAGAACTGTTTTATTCATACTTAAATGCCCAGAACCAGCAACATAATTAGAGCTCATAAGTGCTTATGGAATGAATTTTCTCAGCTTTCAATGAAGAATTCAGCACTTTCAATAATATTGTTGACGGTTACTCTTAATGACACTTGTTTCACTTAGTTTGCTTTAGAAACAAAAACAACATTGCTGGTAAAACGTTCTGGTGTATTTGAGGAACCTAGAATATTATACCGAGAATGAAGTTGGGGAATGAGGCCTAGAGACATTCACAATTTGGGGGCCCAATCACCCCACCCCACCCCCCCAGCCCTTAGAAGAACAGGACAAGCAAATTGCTCTGTGCAACCCCAAAATGACTATGACAAATCTTCTCTAGTCCTCAGAAACATATAATCTAATGGAAGAGCCTGTCTTGTGCATACTTATTCAAAAAGAGGTAGAATCTGATAAATGCTGAAACCAGGAGTAGGAAGTTTAGTTGGGCAGATAATTCACCTGAGCATCACTGGAATGTGGAAAGAAAGGAAAAATTGATTGTGATTGGGGACATCTGGAATTGAAAGAAGCTGGACCTGAAATTAGTCTTCAAAGACAGAATTTTTAAGGAGTGAGCTAGAAGAGAAAGATATTCTAGCAAAGGGGAAAAGTTGGGGAACTATAATGTGTCCAGATATTCGTGAGTTTGTAAACTAAGGGGAGTGTGAGGCAGGAGCTTGTGATGATGGGGAAAACTGGCAGCCTCTGTAGGGGCCACACGGCAGGGCTGGTGGACCAGGGGGAGGAGTTGGATTTCATTCTGATGCACTGGGAGAAGCACGTGTGTTTTAGGGGAGGGACTTGACAGCATAGCTGTCTGCTATTGGAACAGAGACGGGGAGAAGGAAGAGGACAAGTCAGAGTGGAGGATGTTAAAACAGTTGGGGAAAGAACAAGCAGTTTGAATTAGGTGGATGAGAATTTTTAAAAGGCATGCAATGGACATTTTAGAACCTCAATTGTAAACATTTAGTGTTGAATGGATATGAGGAGCAGGAAAAGGAGCCAGAGAGGCTTCTCAGACTTCCTTGCAGAGCCTCCATACCGTCCCTTAAGCAGGCTCTGCAACAACTTCCAGTGGTCTTCTCACCTGGATTCTTGCTCTTCTCTAAGACATTTTCCATGCCACAGCTGGATTAATCTCTTTTAAATGGAAATACAATGCTCTGCCTTTTGCCTAACTAAATTTCCCATGAACTTCCCCGCTGTCCTTGGGATGGTGGGTCCTCACCCCGCCCAACCGGCTGACAAGCATTTAGCAGCCTGCCCTGTCTTTCTGCAGCTTCACCACTTTCTAACTCCCTTTTTGGACTTTATGCCGCAGCCACCCTTTACATCTTTTTCTCCTTCCTTGCTGTTCTCTCTAGACTTTGGCATTTTGTGTACGTTTTCCCAATTCCTACACTGATCAGAGCTATCTCCCAATTAACTTTCACGGTTCTGATCAAAACATCAATAAGCTTCCCTATGCCCCCAAACTAGGCTAGATCCTTTATTATCACGCCTACGGTGACCTGTTCCTCCGCTTTCATCCTACTGATCACTCTTGAAATTTCTTGCTCAAGGTTGACTCTCCTCGATGAGTCTGTAGGGTGTGTAGAGGCAGGAACCTACTCCACTGGCCCAGTATTGTGTCCTCACTGCCACACATACCCCACAGCAAGTGTCCAAAGAATGACTGCTGAGTTTCAGGAAAGTGGGAACTGGGAAGATGGGGGCTAAGGCCCATTCA